GAAGCCTTTCGTATCAACGCAACATAGACTGCTACTCTTTGATACAATGTCATCTTCCAACAACATCTTCTCGCTCTCGGGCCAGTCCCTTAAGCTCGACACTGCCGAGCACATCGAGCCCCACCTCAAACCCTTGATCGCCTCGAATACAGTCACAGAAATCCACCTTGGTGGCAACACACTCGGCGCTCCAGCCTGCGAGACTCCTCGCCTCAGTGCTCAAAACGAAGATAACGCTCCAAAAAGCCAAGCTAGACGACATATTCACATCGCGCCTGCTCTCTGAAATCCCCCAGCGCTCTCGTCCCTCCTCACGGCCCTCCTTGAATTGCCGAACCTACATACCGTCGATCTTTCTGATAATGCATTCGGCCTGAACACGGTGGAGCCCCTTGTCGATTTTCTGTCGAGACATGTGCCCCTGCAACATCTCATATTGCAGAACAACGGTCTGGGTCCCAACGCGGGTACACTGATCGCCCACGCCTTGACCGCCCTCGCCGAGCGCAAAGAAGAGGCCAGAAAGTCTGGAAAGACGGTACCAGACTTAGAGACGGTAATATGCGGCCGCAATCGGCTCGAAAGTGGCTCGATGTCTGCGTGGGCTAAAGCATACCGAGCGCACCGGAAGGTCAAGACGGTCAAGATGGTGCAGAACGGTATACGCCAGGATGGGATCAGCCTGTTATTGACAGAAGGATTGGTTTGGTGCCAAGAGCTTGTAGTACTGGATTTGCAAGACAATACTTTTACGATTACCGGAGCCAGGTCATTAAGTCAAGTTGTTGAGGGATGGAAGCAGATCAGAGAGCTGGGGATTGGCGACTCTCTATTAGGCAGCAGAGGTGCCGTTTTGTTCGCTGAGGCCCTAGGCAAGGGAAACAATGGGCTGCTAGGAGGTATTGAGGTTACAGTATAATGAGATTGACTCCAAGGGGGTGAAGGCCCTGCTAGTCGCGGCGAACGATAAGCTGGTGAAGCTGAGGAGGGTGGAGCTGAATGGGAACAAGTTTTCCGAGGACGATGAGCCTGTGGAAGGGTTGAGACTGCTGTTGGAGGAGCGGAAGGAGAAGGCAGGCGACGCAGAGGGGGAATGGGGATTGGATGAATTGAGCGATCTGGAGGAGGAGAGCGATGAGGAAGATGAAGATGAAGATGAGGACGATGACGACGAAGCAGAAAGAGAGGAGCAAGAGGAAGCGGAGCACAAGAGGGAAGGTATCTTGAAGGATGCGGACCAAGAAGAGGCCCAGAAAGTCAGCCAGAAGAAGGATGATGATGTGGACGCTCTGGCGGATTCCTTGGGCAAGACCGAGATCTAGACCCGCTTCCTGCTACCTCGATAGATTTATTCCCCCTGCCTTCTGTTGCCATCGCGGCGCACTGCCTATCCAGTCCCTTATCGATATGACATCCAGACCACTGTTCTGGTACAAGTAGCAGGCAAGCTGCCGAAAAACTATCTTCCTAAGGGACCGAGGCCGACAACTCGCTTGTTGGCCAACAAAAGAGGTTTGGCGTTTGGGCTGCTGATTCAATGTTGTTTGTCCGCCTGCACCCCCGCCATCGACTCACACTTCAGCATTCTTCTTCCCACGATATTAACAGATTCTCGCAATGGCTGTGTTCTTCCCCACTCTCCAGCCCTTCAACAACCTCCAAAAATGGCCTTCGCCCAGATACCGGCTCCAAGTGATACCATCATGACCGAGCTATCCAATCTCAACAACATCATCACGGATCGCCTCGTTCTGCGTCCTCTACGTTTTACCGATAGAGACGTGATTCGCTTCTTACGCTTCAATCCCCAAGTCGTCGCTGCATGCCTTGCACACAGAAAGGCAGAGACAGAGGCGGAATTTGATGCGTTTCTGGAGCGACTAATGGAGGGTGGTAAGTGTGTGAGTCATTGTGTTGAGCTGCGGGTCTCTTCCCAGAGTGAGGGCGAGAAGGTGGAAGCAAAAGAGCAGAAGTTGACGCAGGATGAAGGAAACGAGCCCAACAGTGCGGATAAGGAACATAGAGAGAATCATATCATCGGCGTCATGGGTGCCCACCGCGTCCCAGAGATCGGCTACATGTTCCTACCTGAGTATTGGGGGAAGGGCTACGCGACTGAAGCTTTGAAAGCATGGATGGAGTGGTATTGGATAGCGTATCCAGGAGGCCATGTGGAGAGGGAATATCTGAACGCGATCACGTGGCCAGAGGCGGTAGGTAGCCAGAATGTGTTGCAGAAGTGTGGGTTTATGTTCCTGCATAACATTCAGCAGGAAATGGACAAAAATGGAGAAACAGAGGAAAAGGAGGATAAGGGTAAGGAGTTTGTCATGCTTAATCTTTGGATTGCTGGGAGGCCACCTTCTAGGAGAAACAGTTTAGCATCCAGCTAAGCACTAGGGGTTTCTTTAACTGCGATCACGCATTGGCAATGTACTCGAAAAGGTTAACACCTAGAACGAGGCTCGAATGTTAGGTAATCCCTCAAATGAAGTGTCAATTTCCTGTGGACATCTCCCGAGTCTCAGTCTATTCGGGGTATCAAGTTGGTAACATTACGAGTCGTGGAAACCCTCCAACCAGACTATTTCACGGACGAGAATTTGGCCTCTCATGCTCAAAAACTCAAAGTCCCATCGATTTTCTTCCCAAAAGATGCTAGTTTTCCTAGCAGTGCGCCTGCTGGTCACGAACGTGCGCAGCCAGTTATGCTACGTTCTCACCCGACATGAAACCTTCTCTAAACCTGGCCTCGAGTTCTCCAGGGTCGGCTTCTATTCACCTACGAAAACAAAATGAATACACATTCACGCCGTCGCCAAAACCTTCTTTCTCGCATGACTTTGTTATGTTCCTTTCTCCTGAGATGCATCCCCAAGTTCATATCTTTTAATTACTACAATTGTGCCCTTCTGAATATATACGTGTGCAAGCATCGTCTATATAAGTTGTTTTGGACCTTGATCAGGATCGATATCACACTTCATTGATACTTGGAGTTACTCTTTTGACCTTGCTTCACAAGCTTCTCTCAACATGCAGACAGCGCATCTAGTTCCTAGCTGGTAGGATGGTGTACCGATAAAGCTACTATAAGACTATTTCAGGATCTTGATCCCGTGCATTTGTCAAAAGTCACTGAAAGAAGTTGCGCTTGTCCCGGAAACTTTAAGGTGGCTCTCAGAGATGCATCCTATGTTTTGCTAACAATATCATTTCAGAATGATCTAGGGATGCTCATAGAGATGGCTAGGGCATCATAGGCAGTTCCAGATCCCTAGACGAATCCACTCGCTTAATCGAATTGATCGAATCCAACGAGATCGTCAACTACCACTTCAAAAAAGCTGTCAGCACCTTTTTGGCCTCACACAACTAGCGAGCCAGCTACGGACTAAGCGTCAAGGAGATGATCTTCATGGCTCTACGTCTGTGCTGCCAGATTTTAGAACTTACTACCAACGAAGACCACTGAGCAGTGGTCTTCGATCTCGGATCACAATTTCCAGAGAGGACCCGCGAACTCTTGACATCTCGAGACTTGATTTCATCGCCAAAATTAGCGCCCCCCCATAACCCCGTGGGGCCCCCGCCCCCCCGCCTTTGGTATGAAAACCCCGCCGCAAAGCCCCCCCCCCATTTTTCTATTTTTTATATTATTAAAAAAATAACGCCTAATTAATTTTATTATTATTATTTTTTTTTAATATATTTATAACCCTTCCCCCCCCCCCCCCCCCCCCCCCCGGCCACCCGGCCCCCCCCCCACCCCCCCCCCCCTCTCTCCTTCCCCCCTCCCCCACCCAAACCTACATTTTTTTTTTCTTTTTTTAATTTTATTTTTTTAATATTTTTTTTTTATTAATTCTAATACTATAATCTAAGATTAACTTACTTATTTTATTTATATTAGTGAATAAATTTAAAGAAACGCGCTAGTAAGAGGCTTTAGTAAGAAATTAAGTTAAATTATTATATTTCTAAGTAAGCCTATTAAATAGATAAATTCGATTTTAAAGAGTTTAAATAAGATAGCGAAATGATCTTAATAAATAGTAGTCGAGGGATAAAGAAGATATTAAATTATTTGTATAAGTAGCGAATTAAAAGAAATAGTTAATATTACTTTATCTATTTAATATATTTAAATATCTAACTTTAATAAATCAAAAATATAAATAGTATTTAAAATATTATTCTTTATAAACTTTCTCTATATATAACTTCTTTATAAGATAAAAAAGAGATTCTCTAAATAAAGTAAGTATACTCGAAAAAATACTATTTAAAGTATTTATAATCTTCTTAATATCTTAAACGATTAAGAGATAAATATATTAAACCCTCGTAAAGAAATAATCTTATCTTAAACTTTTATAGTAAAATTTTTTATTCTCAATATTAAATAATTTCGAACATATTTTAAAGAGATTTTATTATTCTTTAATTAGTTTAATATCTCTTAATATCTATTCTTTTCGAAGTATTTAAACTTTTCTTTATTTTAACTCTTCTTTATTTCTTTTCTATAGCGAAGTTTAATATCAAAAAAATAGATTAAATTAAGACTCTATTTAGAGTAGATTAAGTTTCTAATAAATATTAATTCTATTAGATAATATCTTTAATAAGATAAATTTAATAAATATATCTTAGAATATCGCTAATAGTTTATAATTATAATATTAAATTAAATATTAATTCGATAAATTTATAATTATATTAAATAAAATTCGTTAGAAGCGAGATGATTTCTAAGAGATTATTACTTAATATTATATCGTTATAATAAAAAAGAATCTAATTATAAATAATTTATATTAAACTTATAAAATAATTAAGAAGATAAATTAACTAGTCTAAGATTTTTAAAAAGATATAACTTTTTTATAGAGGAAAGTTAATAATTTTAATTTATAGTCGATAAAGAATTTATAATTATCTTCGATTAAGAAAGAATATATATCTAGACGTTTAAAAAAGAAATTAGTTAAGGTTCTAGATCTATCTCTATTTATTAATAATATTAATCTTATTTAAAACGATTAGTTCTTTAGAATAAAATAGAAATTTAAGATTAATAGCGATTATTATCTTATTAAAATTTTTAAAATAATTTATATAGTTTTATAATTAAGCGATAAGACTATATAATATATAATATATAAAAAACTTCAAAATTCTATTAATTTATATTAATCTATTAATAAGATTATAAATAAATTAGTTAATATTTATAAGAATTTAGATTAACGTAATAATATATAGTATAATATATATACTTTATAATAAGAAATCTAATTCTTTATTAATTTCTATTTAGACTTTATTCGATTAAATATTATTCTTAATATTAAGAAAACTCTTATATTAAAGTATTACCTTTTAGAAAAATTAAGGAAAAATCTAAGAAATTTATAAAAAATTATAAAAGAATTTATTATCTTAAAAACTATAAAGAAATATCTTCGAAAACTAAATAATTTATATCGTATTTTATATAAAGATATAGAGTTTATAAAGACTACTATTAAGCTAACTATTACGCGAACTATAATTAATATATATCTTATATTCATTATTAAGACTATAATTACTACGTCTTTAGATATTAAGATTAATTTAAAATTAAGAGAATCTATATACTATAATTACGATAAGAAAAATTACTATCGAAAGAATTATATAATAACTATCTAAATTAAGATCGATAAAAAGATCTTCGAGAAAGTATAACTTTACGCGATAAAAATAGATAAAGAATTTAAAATTAATAACGTCGATATTATAAATAGCGATAATTCTTCTTTAAATTCGAAAAATAAATAATCTCTTTTAAAGTTACGATAAGAGGTATTTATAAAATATATTTAATAGATACTTTTAATAACCTCTTAGTATATCGTTCTTTTTATATATAAGTTATACTATCTTTATAAGAAAGAGAGTATTTATTTAAGAACTTTCTTATAGATAGTAGATATATTAATATTTATATTATTATAAACGAGTTTTTAATCTTATTAGAACTAGTATAGATACGATATTAGTATAAGTGAGATAGATTAAGAATAATAAGGCTATCGAATTATATATATAAGAAGAAGATATAATATAATAGAAGATATTTCCGCTAAGGCTCGCTAGCTATAGAATTAAGTAATATATTAAGAATACGCTTATAATACTATTTTCTTCTTTTAAATAGCTATAATCTCTATAACTAATAAATCGAAGATATATATCTATCGCTTATTTTATATTTTCAAATATTCATAGTTCGTATAAATCTCGATCGGAGAAGATTTATCGAGATGTAATGATATTATCGAGTTATATAGTAATCTTAACTATACTATACCTATATTATTCTCTAGAGATTCTAGAGATATAGTTATATCTTATCTACGTATTAGTAAGATTCTTCGAATTCTTCTTCTTACTTAATCTACTTATTATAGTCCTTTAATAGAATTAAAGAAAATTTAACGTATATATAATATTCTTTAACACTTATTAATAGCCTAGCCTAGAGAGCTTCACTGTAAATTTACTCTATATCTCTTATACTCTTATTATTAAGTCTATTCTTTATTTTATTCTTTATCTTTATTAATTCGTAGATTTAGTAGATAGATAAGAGAAAAAATTAAATATATGTTAAATTCCATCATTTAGTAGTAAGCTTACTATATGTGTTATCGATATACTTAGTAAAAAAGATGTCGATATATATCGTTTCGAGGCTATTTCTATCGCCGTTATAGTAGGCTTACTATAGCGTTATCGATATATCTTAATAAAGAGATTATACGTTTATACTATAAGAAAAAAGAAAGAAAGAATAAAAGGAAGAAGTATGTTTTTTGATATCGATATAGGTGAGTTTAAGTCGGAATTTATAATATATTAAATATAGATAAAAACGAAGTAGAGGTTTATTTAAATAATGTAGATAGTTTATAATTTGAGTATAATATGTTAAGCGGAGAAGAATATCTTATTCTTAATATAGGGGACTCGTTTTTAGATGAATTAAGCTATCGTTAATAATATAGATTATTTAATATAGATTCTTTCGAATAATATAGATATCTTAGTAATAAAACTTCTATATAATAGAAATACCTAGCGTTTTCTTTATTAGGCTCGGTCGCTTACTTCGAGTAGAAAGTAAAATATTTAATAGCTATTTAGTTACTCTACTATTCTCGAGTATAACTAGTTATTTAATTATTATCTATATAAGTTTCTCTTCGCTAAGAGATATAAAGAAGGAGTTTTATTATAATATTAAAACTAGTATAGATACGATATTAATATAGATAGAGATAAAACGAGAATAATAAGATTATCGAATTATATATATAGAAAGAAGATATAATATTACCTC